TATGAGAAGAGGCAAGAAGATGACGTGATTTCCAACTTGAGTATTAGAATGTGTGTGTGTGTGTGGAGTTTGAGTTTCTTCACAGGTTCCATGTTAATGCTTGATGACACCTGTAGATTATGGTGCTTTTTAGGGTTAAATCAATGTCCTGTCATAAACAAAATGTAAAACTTCTTACATGCTTGAAAAGATATCCTAAATTAAATTTTCATCTACTGGTACATGTCGGGGGAACATATTGTTGGCATTTTCTGAACTTTAGGTGCTAAACTGTGCAACACTAATATTTAATAGTTATGCGGATCATATATCCACAATGCTGTAGTATTGCTGCCAACAACTTTCCATTGCAGCTTATAATAGTGCCTGATAAGATCAGATGACTACACACAACATAAGATTATAATCTATTAAAAATTAAAAATTGTGGTATCAAATTGCACTCTGATGTTTCCACACCGCCACCCACGCTGTTCAAAGTCGCGTTCTTTTAATAACTCCCACAGGACAATAAACCAGACTGGACAGAGTATGGAAATATATACTGTAGTGAATAGTTCCATGGCAAGCTTTCTGTGACATCTCAGATGTGAGCTCCATGCAGGCAGCATGCCTTTTGGGATGTCAGGGCAGCAGATGGATGCCTCTGTCCCCTTCAGAAGAAAGTCCCTTCCCACCACCACCCTTTGCCTTCTCTTATGCATGGTGATTATGAGCCTCACAGCCTTGGGGCAAGTGGCTCTTCTTCCTCATGTTGTAAACTTTAACAAATGGTCTTGTGTAAGAATAGTGCAGCATATTACCAATTCCCTTTTTAAAAAAATTCTCAAATCTTTGGAGCTTTGCCCCTCTCAAAATAGACAACTGTGGACCTCTAGCTCTGAAAGCACAACAATATGAACAATTGCCCTCAAGAAAATGTTTTGTATCACTGCCTCATTGTGGTAGCTTGAGACCAAAATGACTTAATTTGCATGCTTAATTATGGGCAGATCATAGAAAAAGTTGCTTAGCATCTTTGGATAGGCCTGCTGTGACTGTCTGTCTGTATCCCTGTGTTCACCTTTTTACAAAACTATAATGCATTTTGTACAAAGTATGCCATGTGAGGTATCATTTGAAAATTCATAATTTACTGATCATTATTGTCCTGGTAAACTGTGTGTGGCAACATTGTATGTAAAGTTATAAGACTCTACTGCAGGGGTCGGCAACCTCTGGCACACAGCTCACCAGGGTAAGCACCCTGGCGGGCCGGGCCAGTTTGTTTACCTGCTGCATCTGCAGTTTCGGCCGATCGCAGCTCCCACTGGCCGTGGTTTGCTGCTCCAGGCCAATGGGGGGGGCGGGCTGAGGGATGTGCTGGCCACCGCTTCCCGCAGCCCCCATTGGCCTGGAGCGATGAACCGCAGCCAGTGGGAGCTGCGATCAGCCGAACCTGTGGACGCAGCAGGTAAACAAACTGGCCCGGCCTGCCAGAGTGCTTACCCTGGCGAGCCACGTGCCAGAGGTTGCTGACCCCTGCTCTACTGTATGAGATTGAGACATAGTCCAACTCTGTAAAAGTAGGCACAAACCAGTTCCCCAAAGACAAAAGGCAAACTGACGCCTCAGCCAGGTGTCAACAAAATCACATGGACTATCACCTGGTTAGGCTGCCATTCTTTGGTAAGAAAAAGGGTGTGAGTAAGAAATTTACATCTTGGCAAATAAACAGCTGGAGGTTCCCATCTCCTCAGACCTTCTGTCTCCTGAACCTCTGCTGGAGATTTTTTTTTAAAATAAAAGAGAACCATAAGAAAGGGGAACAGAGGCCTCAAAATACTCCTCCCTTTCTCTCTACCCATGACATCAACAACACCTGAAAGACAAGGAAAGTAACACTGAACTGGGGAGGGGGTTAGGTGGAAGAATCCTGGCCAACTGAAATCCAGACAGTAAGACTGTTCAAACATGTGGTGAGAGAGACCTTTGCTTTGAATTCATTTAGCTTGTTAAGTTAGATATTAATTGTGTTTTACCTTTTATTTTGTTGTAACCAACTCTGACTCTTATGCCTCATTACTTGTAATCACTTAAAATCTATCTTTCTGTAGCTAATTAAACTTGTTTTATCTAAACCAGTGTGCTTGGATTGAAGTGTTTGGAAAACTCCATTTGTGATATCAAGATTTGTGCATATCACTTTCTATTAATGAAATGATGGATTTATATGAGCTTGTATTGTCCAGGAGGGTGCCAGGCAGTAATAAGACACACATTTCTGGGGGAAAGTCTTGTACTGGGAGTTTGCTGGTGTTGCCTTGCAGTGTAATTCATGGGTGGCTGGCTATAGCATTTATACAATATAGCTGGGAGTGATTTACATTCTGGAGGCTGTGTGAGAGCAGACCAGGAGTTGTTATTCTCACAGCAAAGCAGTGTAAAAGGCACCCTAGGGTGGAGAATTGAGGGGACACAGCTTTCCATCAGTCAAGATCGTACCCTGGGTAATTTCACTCCCACAAAATAATTGATCTTTAATTGTAATAGATTTCTGATGACCACACAACTTTGCTTGGAACTGACCAGAGAATTTTGTTTTAGGGAGGTTTATATGAATTCTTTGGATACTACTACATTTCCCGAGTCACTTAATAAGTAAGTATGAGATCTTCAGGTCAATTCCAGCCTACTATGCAGAAAGGCAAACCCAGGTGCTTGTGCTGGGGTCCACGCATAGAGTTACCATCATTTAAAAAAGTTTTGTCAAGGACAATTGTTCAAATAACCTGCGGTCTTAGGGGCTGATAGGCTGTGTTAGGTGGGGCCTTTCTTTGTGCATTTGTGTGAATTGTAGCACTTGTTTATGCTGATTTACAAAATGCATTAAACATCACAACTCCAGGGTCAAACTGGAAAAAAATAAAGTGGAAAAATGAAGCAACTTGTCTAAGACCAACGAGTGACAAAACATGCATTTGAATGCAAGGATCCCTTGTTCTCAGTCCTGCACTTGGTCCACTAGGCTACGCTGCTTCTCAGACTATTGAGCTTTCATTCTCCCAGTGGTTAGGGAGCACAGTGGCTCTGGACAGTGGGGCCAGCTCAGCTGCAGGAGGCAGCGAGGAGGGACCTTGTGGTGATCCTAGATTTATCCGTGGCTCCCAGCACAGCCCAAGTGGGATGGGAAATGTAGAGACAATGGACCATGATCTCGTCTCCCCCTTTTTTAAAATCTGGTGGCAGATATGGCAAAAGCCAGCACTGGATGTTAGGTGGGGATGAAAATTAATAATTGAGAATTTTTAGGAAAAAAAATCAATGACAAACTTTCCACCTTAGTGGATCAGTTTTTGTTTCCAAAACTCTGCACAAGGAAAAAAGGGATACAATTTTTTTTAAAGAAAGCAGAGTCCCTCTGCCATTTCTAGATTCCCTGAATCATAGGAGTTTGTGGCTGTGAACCTGGCACCCCGAAGGTCATTTGTACATAGGAACATGTAATAGATATATGAATAGTGCTGGCTATTAACATGTAATTAACAACAAGGCCAAACCCAAAACTGGAAAGTTCTTTAAAAGGAGAAATGAACTCCAAAATATCTCAGGGAAATATGGCTGGTTGTCTGAAAGAAGAAAACAGAAACCTTCTGTGTTACAAAGAAGCAATAAAATGCAGCTGCTTTTCAGTGGCTGTTATACTGATTAGTTCTTCAGCTAAGCCCCAGTTCTTCAGGCTGTCCACATACTGGAGTCCCTTTGAAGTCAACAGGATTGGGTCCATAAGATGAACTGTTTATTAACGTTACTCTGTTTTCTCACACCTCTGTTTAGCAAAGTTGTATGAAACTTCCTGGGAATGCTTTAGTGGCTATCTGTTCTATTGTGCCTGTGACCTTTGGTCCTCTGTTATGACTAGCAGTGAATTAGCCATGACCAATGTGAGGTTGGAGGTCATATACTGCATTTGCATAGAGAAATTATTTCTTTTCTTCAGTAATAGTCCTCCCACAATAATGTCAAGTATGGTTATAGCTTCCCAAGGCAAGTTCCCAACAAAC